GAGAGGACTTTTTGGGAACTGGAATAATAATGGAAGTTTTGAGACAAGATGGAACAATGGCTTGTGTAAGAGAAAGGTTACAAATATTATATTTTTAAATATTATATATTAAAAAATATCATACAATAGAATCGTATTTCAAAAATTTATTGATGAAAAGATTATAAGGGAGCAAGCAGGTCTCCAGGGAGGTCATGTGGTAGTTAAATCCTAATCTTACATAATATATTAAGGATGGTTTCAAAAGAAAACCAATTACTGGAATAACTTTCATCAACTCCACTGCAGCATATGACACTCTAAACCATATGGTATTGCTACATAAATTAAATAATATGACCAGAGATAATAAGCTAACCAGAGTCATTGGCAGCTTCCACCAGCACTGGAGATTCTATATGCTACTATACAGTAAGAACAGTAGATGAAGGATTCAGAAGAATGAGCTGCCAAAAAAAAGTGTATTATCTCTGACATTGTACAAAATATATACAAAAATAAACCAGTCCCTGACAACACAAATCTATTCATCCATATGAATGATATAACAGTGGCCGACAAGGATAAACTTTTGATGAGGTAGCTGGAACATCTATGGTAGCACTTGAAGAATTAGGATGATACTATACCATCAATAATTTAAAATTCAACCCAGACAAGACCCAAATGTATACTTTATACCTCCAAAATCAAGATGCAAGGGAAGAGTTGGTTATTATGTGGCAAGGGAACCAACTACAGCACTGTCCAATACTGAGTATCTGAAAATACTCAACAGGAGGCTGTTTTTTGCCTGAACACTAAGGGTAAAGTCAGCTTGAGGAGCAATATCACCAGGAAACTCATAAACTATACATGGGGAGCTCAACCATCTATATTGTGCACATCAGCTTTGGCCTTCAGCATCTCTGCAGTAGAGTATGCTACCCCAATGCAGAGTGCATCTTCACACACAAAACAAGTTGACATTGCCATCAATGAAGCAGTATACTTAGTGACAGGATGTCTCAAATCTACAACAATTGAAAAAATATATTCCCTCACTGGCATTGCCCCACTTAAGATCAGGAGAGAAGTAGCAGCAGATGCCAAAATAACTTAGCAAGAGAATGATCCCTGATATCCTCTGAATGGCCATATGCCCCAAAGCCCACCGACTCAGACCTAGGAAAAGCTTTATTAAAAGATAGAGGAAGGAGACTGTTGAGCAAGAAATAACATTAAAAGAGGTTATGGCTAAAGGATCCAACTTCCCTTATACTATTTGGAGGACCCTAAAAAGATTGAGGGTTGGAGTGCCTAAAGACCAACATACTCAAGTGGAGGCTTTTAGTGGATAACAACATCCTGTGTGAATGTGGAGAGACACAGAGCCCGGCCCAAGTGCCATTTTCATATTAGTGTAACATTTAAATCAATTGCTTATCTCTGCAACTTGCTGTTAGAGCCCTTTTAATACTTTGTTTAATCCCTGAATTGTGTTTTACAAAACTACCGAAGGAGCTATTGAAGAAGAATGGCTTTTTACTGACAATGCAGCTTCATACAATTACAAAAGTCATTTTACCTATACTTGGGCAAAAACTTTCATTCAGTTATAGAAACCTCTTTTTATACTGAGTGAAACCATCTCTTGATTTAATCTTCCTCTGATGACTGGTTATTTTTCAAGTTCTCAGGAAATTATATTAAAAAGAGAACTGTAAAGAGTATTTCCTGGAGACATACATAAGATCATTGGAAATACATATGGTCTGTATATTGTTTAACCTTTCTCTATACAGGTAGTACATTTTGCACCAGGTGAAACTTCCAAATCCTTCAAAGAGAATCTAGTGTTATACGCATTACAATCTAACCTGAGTGTGACCATATCATATCAGTTTAACCTGCTAAAATGCATGACTCACCACTGTCATCATTTGTGCTTTCACAGATAGTCCAGAACTATCCTGAAGCTTTGAAGTTGGTTCTTTAGAAGTGAAACAATATTATTGATAATCAGACTCATATACAAACGGCAATGGCCATCATAATTATCTCTGTCTTTCTTGGATTGATCTTTAGTGTAGCTCATCTCAAAACAACATCCAGATATTGTTCAGCAGTTCCAAAGTGATTTTCTAATTAATAGTTCAGCTATATATGTTTTTCATTCTGATGGCACTTTAGTGTAGACCATTAGGAGATTCTATTTCCAATTGTTTGTTTAAGGAATTAGAAAGAAGCTTGTGGCACTATATGGAAGCTGAAGAAACAAAATAAAACAAAAGAAGCCTACCAGGGGAAAAAACATTTTAAAGTGTTTTATAATTAAATCATTGATTCAAAAGATTCTTTGATCAATGGTAACAAAGACTGCCACAAAGTTCAGAAAAATTATCATGGAGATTCTATTTGATCAGCGATGCATTTTTTAAAAAAATGAATTTGCTTGTCCCTTTATAAAATTGCTCAGCTAGAGACCATAACATAAATCAAATTCCCTATTAACATTATGGTATCATTTATATCAGATATTATTTACCACAGAATAGCAAGTTAAAATAAGTATTTACATAATTTCCTTGCAATTTCAAGATGGCATCTTGAACTTTTGGGTGGAATAAGTAGGAGTAAGCTTGGTTAGCAGGTCCAGCTGAAAATGGAGTTTTGAGAATGACAGCAGGTAATTTGTAGTAATAGCACCTTTCAAAGAGGATGGTAGCATGATACAAAGTTATATTATATTAATCAATTAATTAATTGAAATTGTATAAGTTGAAGTTTTGCAGTTTAATTGACAAGCCCAGTTCAACATTTCTGAATAGTATTACAGAAACTGTATTCATGCTGGTACTGAGATCATAATACATAAATTAAATCCAAGTACCTGAATATATTCAAACATTCTGAATTCTTGATTAGACTGGATGCCCACATGAACATAGCAATTAATATTTAAGTATTATTCTCAGAAAGGCAATAGAGCAGAACATACAAATTGACATAAAAATCCACAAAACATTTTTTTCTGACAAGAAACTGCAATGGGAAGCAATATATATGACACTATTATCAGTTATGCAAGGAGAAGATGATCCACCATTAACAGGGTGAATCAAATCTGCTGCATGAGATTTATTAAAATAGGATGAACATATTGTGAGAATCTCCAGTGGGTGCCATGGCAAACTAGACATCCCTGCCAAAGTGGGATAATGTTTATGGTGAAAATCAGCAGCTGGATGCCAAAACCTGGCCAGCAACATCTCTCCAGAGAAAGGAAATGTTGTGAGATAGCTCATGTACTCTGAATAGCTGCTTCTCATGAGCAGACCACATAAATCAAAATTTTGCATTTGGCTTATGAGTTGGGTAGCTGGATGTTGAGGGATACCATCTGAATTCGCAGTCTCATACTGCTGCTGGTCATAAAGCATATATTATTATTAGAGCTTTGAATCAGAAACTACTTAGTAGGAGTTTTGTCACAGCTCAATTTTTATCCTATTGTAATATGATGGTTAGCAGGGATAGTAGCTCTTGAAGCAGCTGTCTACCTAAAAAGCACACCTGTGACTATTAATTTAGCACACTGATTTCTGACTGTGGGAGCATCATGTCTTCACATCTACAGCATGTCTACACATCTAATCTGCACGAGCCGTACTGTGACAGTGTTCTGCTTTACAGCATGGGAAAAATGAAAGGTACATATTTTAAGGAAGAGAAAGTGAAGTTAGGAGGGAAATTGTCACAGTTTGCTTGGAGTTAGAACAATGCCAGTGCTTAGTCTTCATTTATCATCCTAATCCTACTTATTTATTTCAACTTCCACAGAACTGAATGGTAGCCTAGATTAAAATTTTTAAAAATTAAGCACAATACGTTTTAAAAGCATCAGTAATGCAGCTGTTAAGTCTAGTTGTTATGAACTAAACTCAATATCTTCCAAACTTCACACACACACACACACACACACACACACACAATTTCAAAACATTTTTAAAGTAAATAAGCTTTGCAAGATATCTAAACACAATCCAGATCAGGCTGGGGAATCATAGTTGTGATGAATCACCCACAATAATCCAGATTTTTCTCCATATCATGTCTTGAGCCATGATATGAAAAGGACTATGATAGTCATTTGGGAATCTTTCACTCTGAATCTGTGTTTGTAGAAGATACAATTGTCTTTTATTATAACAGAGCACAATACAAAACAGAAATTTATTTCTAATACAAAACAACATCTTACACCTTTAGTTCCTTATGTCTGATTTGCCTTCTTATATCTTTCCCGATCCTCCTATTTCAAAATACGTTTGACTAGTGCTCATATTTGAATCCGTGTCTGAACAAAACTTTTATATTATGTGCAAGGAACAACATGTGATGGAACTTTCTGCATAACCCTTTCAGATTCTTCCCTCTAAAACAAGTTGGTTCTGCATAGGTACTAAATTACAAGGCTTTTTGAGATATAGCATCCCAACAGCACCTCCAATTGTGACACCTGTGCATGGTATCTGTGTGGTCTTGACAGTACATATAGGGTAACAACTTCAAGCTTCATCACCTGGTGTATTATGTTGTGGAGGAAAGGGCTTCTGGAAAAGAGTCTACATTAAAATTTCAGAGTAACAAAAAATAGTTTCATTTTAGTGGAACATTAAGATGGATAACATCCTTTTTCAGATCAAGTGGACTTGAATAGCAAATTTACCCAAGAATAATTTTAGCACCTACAGAACAAATCTATATGTCTCCAAAGTATTCAAAGTTTGTATCCTATTGTACTGAAGCACTGAATCTAGGTTTCTTCTGTTCCCTATCATGACAGTTATACAATAATACCTTATCAATGTTTCATTGAATGTAAAAAAATAATCCTACTGGAAAGACCACTCCACAGGATATTTGAATTATACTTAAATTGCAAATGCAACAAAACAGAAGCAAAGCAGACAAAGACAAAGCAAAAAACTCTGTAAGCCATCTTTTTCACAACTTACCTAAGTCTCCTTCAAGTCAAATTTTATGGAAAACATCAGTTTTATTGGCAGCATCATAGAAATGGTTTCCTATTGTCTTCTTCTGGACATCTTTTTGACCTCTTAGTATGATCTGCTGATCCTGAAGCTCTCCATTAAAGTATTAATCAAGCCCAATCTTGCTTAGCTTCATACAGAGGCTTCCATCAGCTGACAAACTTGAAACAGTTCAAATTACTCTTACAGCAATAGAGCACCTGGAATAGCTGGAGGAGAGTATATTAGAATAAATTCAAACATGTATTTTTTTTTAAAAAAATCACAAGCTGATTAAGAGAACCATCAAGTACGTCCTCTAATCTTTTGAGGGGGAAAAGTATAATCAAATTATCTGAAATTATCTGAAAGAGATAGGTGTAAATACTAACATTTTGTTGAAATCTGCCCACTGGTTTCTACCAAATTTTCTTCCCTGTGTGGGGAAAATATTTTTATATTTTATTCTCTGGGTGTTTTCATTTTAATTAGCTGTGTTTGTGAGGTTACTTGCTGGGACATAGAGCAAGATGCTACTTGATGTTGCTTTCCATTGCATGCCTCTAAGTCCCCACAAGTGTCCTTCTTTCAGTCATGCCCTATGGTAGGGTATTCCTTGTGATGGCCTTCCTTTGGCTAAACTGAAAGATGGAAAGCTAGAGTAGCAGCAAGGTGTATCTATATGAGACTTGACACACATTCTAGCTTAGCTCATAATTAAGGTAAATCTTTGTATCTTGCACATTGCCAATGATAATTTAACTAAAACATTCTTTTATAATAAAATGTCAAATTAAATTGCGACCCAACAGATAAAGAATACATATTTTTATTACGTTAAGAAATACATAGCACATGTACTGATTTTATCCAATCAGGCATGGTTTTTATCTGATTAGATCCAGTCCAGGGATTTCCCTCCCCTGCCCTTCCCAAAAATCCCTTAGCTGTCCTTCACTGACATTCCAGCATGTGGAATTATTAGTAATTCCGACTGAAGAAAATTACATACATGAGTTTTAAAACTGCACAAATGAAGGAAAATCCTGGGCATACTTTTGGTTTTATTTCAAGGAATAGAGAGAGTTTGAGAACTAGAGGCAGCAAGAATCTATGTTACTGATAGGGCACAGAAAAATGTTATGTCTGGGGAATTAAAAACAGTCAGAATGTTTTGAGTTTTTTCACCAATATAACAGCAATTTATTAGACTGCTTCATATTGCCAGTTCCTACTATTCCACATCAGATTACATAAGATGTGAAAATATAAAACATACCAATATTTTATGCAGAAATTGCAATACTTCAGAATTGATTGAACATTTGAACAATGGATTTAGTCAGTTTTGAATAAATTACTATTTCTGAACTATAAGTTCTCATCAATAAAATCAAAATTGGAGAAAACCATTAAAGTTTCAAAGTCCCTAAAAAGTACAGTTTAAATTAATGTTTCACATAAATGGTGAGCTTTCTGGGAAATATTCCACTTCAATAGTTTTTATATTTGGTATTCTGAGTTTGTGTGTGCGTGTATTTCTATGTTGGAAAGATGAATGCAATAATATATTGGCTTATAAAGTAGTCTTTGATCCAAGTTTGTACAGAGTGGCATTGATGTGCTTGGGGTGAAACTGGCTGTGCTTCAATTCAAAATGTACCAAAATATTACCCTTACTGATAGCATGTGGCAGGAACCTGACTAAGACTGGCATACTTTTCGACTTCTTCATACAAGTGCATGAATTTATGTGAAAGCTTTGTGATAGTATAAGTCATGATAGATGGTGGTCAATAGATTCTGAGGTCATCTGAAGATACCCAGGGCAATGAAAGACTGGAAGATTGTGACTTGGAATGTAAGAGTTAATGATAGAGAATATAAATAAAATAAATGAAAGGAAGGAAGGTATATCTCTTGTGTGTCTGTAAAAATAAGAAAAAGGGAAAGAAGAATATAGATTAGAAGGAGGTGATCTGACCTTGTGGAGTTGATGGATACATGTAGAGAATGAAGTTGTAGGATCAATTATGAATGGAAAGATTAACATGCGTGTGAGAAGGTATGTTATTGTGAGTGCACATGAAAGTAGGAATTCATTGATTGGTAACAGTTGCATATGATCTTAGAGCATATGGGAATAATGGAAAAATCAGATATAGTTTGGAGAAAAAATGGAAGGGATAAGGGGAAAAGTCTGCTAATGATAAATATGGAAATCTGATAAGAGACTACAGTAAAAGTGACGGGGACATTTAAAGATCCAAGAATGAATGGGGCTGCTGAGTAGTGACTATCTGCTTAGGATATGTATTTATTGTGAGTAGGAATAAATCTACTGATATGTACACATCACAAATTAATGAAATTAATATATCACAAACACTTTAAAGATTTTTTTTTTTAAAAAAGGAAGGCTGAAATAGATGGTATCATTGGAGAACTGTTAAAATAGAAATGTGACTTGCTTATAAAGTTATTGTGTTTCTATCTGCACCTGGCTACTGGAAGAATACTGCTATACTTGCTCTATACCAAGAAGAATTTTGCAAAAGTGAATGTAACAATTACAAAACAATTTGTAGAATTCTGATTGAAAGAGTATGGAAGGAGACAATAAAAATATTGTAGATGAATGCAGGTTTGCTGATATTATGATTTAGAGAAAACATGTAAGAGTATAGCCTCAAATTATGAAATTTTTCTAAGTGTATTGAGTTTAATGTTGGTTACGAGTGCAGTAAAATGGCACATGACGAAAGTAAAGGATGAGTGAAAATAAAATGTGTACTTTGATAATGGTCCAGTATTGAGCAGAAGTTTAACTGTGGTGTCACCCTGGTATTCAATGAATGATTGAATAAACATATTGATTATATGTATGGTAATGTTATAAAGATGTTGGTTGGGATATAGGTAGTTTTGTATGCTTTGTTGATTCTTAGATTGAGCTCTGAAAAACTCAAAATATGGGACACAGTAAACCCTTCTCCTTAAAAAAATACCTATAGAAATGGTAGTCTTCGCTAAGAGAAACAAGCTTATGCCAACCAGTTACATATGGGAAGTGTGTGTATACCCTGGTCCTGTTAAACCAGTCAGTGGTTTTTGATACCATCAACTATGGTATAGAAAAGGATGGGACCTTGGAAGTCTTCTAATCCAACTCCCTGCTTAGGCAGGAAATCCTATAGCATTTATCTTCCTGGACTGTCTGCAAATGTTGGGAGTTGGAGATACTATTTTCCTGAGGTTCTGTTTTAGTTCAGTGGATAGGTCCAGTCATTAGGCTTGAGTCCTTGGTTGCTCCAGTACGGGCTACTACCTGATTCTGTTCCTTTCCTACGCTGCCTAATATATATTTGAAGCTGCTGAGTTACACCATCATTTGATGATTTGAGGTGTGATATCAGCAGTATGCTGGAAATATTCAGCTATTTATAGATGCACCATACGAACCAGGATCACTGTAAAAACTCTTAAGCAGTAACTGGAGCTGTTAAGACCCATTGGGATGTTGCAGCATAAACGTCCTCTTGGTACATGCATTGCAACATTGCTCATACATCTAAAAAGAGACAGAACTTGCATCTCAACATCACCATCCTCATCTTGACATTCTGATTAAGGTACTGAATGTCACAGATACCTTTAAAAAAACTTATAGCAATAGCACTTAGACTTACATACCACCTCGTAGTGCTTTACAGCCCTCTCTTACAGAGTCAGCATATTGTCCCCAACAATATGCTGGGTCCTCATTTTACCGACCTTAGAAGGATGGAGGGCTGAGTCAACCTTGAGTCGCTCAGGCTTATGATATAATACATGTTAAAAATATCTCTAGATAAACAATTAAAGGCCTATCAAAGGGATAACACACACACACACACACACACACACACACACACACACACACACCACACACACCCCTAGCTTGATTTCCATGCCAGGGAGATCCAAAACATGAGAATCACCACTGAGAAGGGTCTTTCCTTTCTTTTGTCTAACTTTCCCTCAATGTTAGAGAAATCATAAAGTAGGAATTTCCCAAAGGTCCAGTCACTTAGTCAGACTCAAACAGAGGATTCTGCTTTCAACTGTTTGGTTCCAAGACCGATAGGCTTTCATAAATCAACATGACCGCTGAATTCTGCTCAGAAATGAAAGGCTGGAGGAGGAAGAGAACGAGAAGGGAGGGAGGAAGAGATGATAATGTAGCAGAAAACTAATAGTACAATAGAGCAAAGCATTACAAAAGGGAAGAATACAGGGGAAACCAATGCATAATAAAGTGGATAAAAGATTTGGCTGCAAATATGCAGCTCCTCTTAGAACAAATTTCCTCCCCCTTTTAATTTCATGAGCTTGCCTTAAAATTGCAAGAATGTAACAGCATAACACCAGCTCTCTGATTTATTAATTCTATCCTACCCTAGAAATCTTCCAAACAAAAGCATTAGTGTTTCCTCCAGAGGAACATATGAAGGGACTTATTCATATTGAAGGTGGGGAGAGAAGCACCAGATACCAGAACAGCCATCCCAGACTCCTCCTTGTTCCTAATTACCTTCCTGCGGATTGTTCAACAAGGCAGGGGTGGGAAGAATGAGGGAAAAGAACTATGGGGTGTCATGATAAGACAAAAGAAAGAAAAATGAGATCAACTGTAGATGAGGAAGCCGATCCAAAATGCAAAGTAAGGATATCGGTTTTTTACCTTATCTTAATCTTGCTCCCACCCAAAGCCAAATAAATAAATAAATAAATAATAATAATAATAATAATAATAATAATAATAATAATAATAATAATAATAATAATAAGTGGGATCATAAGCCTGAAAAAGTGGTTGAAAATGTGTATGCAAAACTGGGGTATTGGAACACAATACCCCAGATATCACGATTGCGGAGAAGAAAAAAGTGTGGATCGTCAACATTGTCATACCTGATCACAGCAGAATCGACAAGAAACAATTTGAAAAAGTCACCAGATATCAGGACTTGAGAATCGAACTGCAGAGACTCTGGCA